TACATGTTTTTACATTATCTCTCTAACTTACATGTTTTTACATTATCTCTCTAACTTACATGTTTTTACATTATCTCTCTAACTTACATGTTTTTACATTATCTCTCTAACTTGCATGTTTTCACATTATCTTTAATTTTAATACTTAAAATCAAATCAAATCAAATCAAATCAAATCAAATCAAATCATGCTGTTCATGAGTCCTATACTAGCTAACCCCCAATCTCGAAATTAATTTACTTATTTTTGTTTAAATCAAAGGATAAGGAATAAGGGTTGAATAAGTAGGATGATAAGTAACGAATGTCTAGGATAAGAATTTCGAGTAGGATATGATTGTAAAGAATACTCAAGATAAGAATTGAATGAGTAGGATGATAGGTAACGAATATCCAGGTTAAGAATTGAATGAGTAGGATGATAGGTAATGAATACCCAAGATAAGAATTTCGAGTAGGATATGATTGTAAAGAATACCCAAGATAAGAATTGAATGAGTAGGATGATAGGTAATGAATATCCAGGATAAGAATTGAATGAGTAGGATGATAGGTAATGAATATCCAGGATAAGAATTGAATGAGCAAGATGATAAGTAACGATTAACTAGAATAAGAATTGCGAGTATTGAAAGGATTAAATGAGTATAATGATAGTTAATGAATGTCCATCGATAAGGATTTAATAAGTATTATATAAATATCCAAGATAAAGATTGAATAAGTAGGACAATAGATAATGAATATCCAGGAATAGGATTAAATGAGAAGGATGATAAGTAACGAATATCCAGGAAAGGATTGAATGAAAAGGATGATAGTTAATGAATATCCATGGATAGGGTTTGAATCAGTAGGATGATATTTTTTGAATATCCAAGATAAGGATTGAATGAGTATGACAATAGATAATGAATATCCAAGATAAGAATTGAATGAGTAGGATGAAAAGTAACGAATATCAAGGATAAAGATTAAATGAGAAGAATAATAAGTAAAAAATATCCAGGATAAGGCTTGAATGAGTATGATAACAAATATATCCAGGGTAAGAATTAAATGATTATAAGTAACGAATATCCAGTATAGGGATTGAATGAGTAGGACAATAGATAATGAATATCCAAGATGAGAATTGAATAAGTATGATTAGTATAAACGAATATCCAGGATCAAAATAAAATAGAATGAATAGCTATTTAAGCTGAAAAGTCTATTTTGTTATTATCTAAGTTTTCTCTCCCTGAGGCAGAGTTTCAAAAATATTATGATGTTAATACTGAATATAGGAAACTTTATATCCTATATTGTATAAGATTTAGTTTAAAGGGACTGAAGAGGTTATTTCAAGTTATCTTCCATCTATAGAGTGGAGTGTCCAATTCACAACGATATTCATTCAACCTGTTCCATTGAGGTAGATCGTCATTTTTCAGTCTTTAAAAGTGTGTATTTATGGCATTTTAGTTCAATTATCTTGGCTTCTGATAATCTGTAATAAACTTTTACAGAAAAAACAATTTTTAATAAACTCAATTTTTACATTAAAATAATAAGATATATTATTCATATTGATATACAAAGGTAGAAAACCTTTGTGAATCTGACATTACATTCAAAAAATGGTGGGTCGCTTTAAATTGTGTCTTTAGTTCCTTTAGCTCCGCACTTCCATAGGATGAATAATTTTAAATCAGATCAATTGATTTTCAAAAAATAAAATTCAATATATTCAGATTAGTATACATACTAGGGTTTCCAAAGTATCGTTCAATCTCTTTCACGAAAATTTCTTTCAGGCAACAAAAAGGTAAACGAAAACTAAAATTTTGGTTCCTTTTCGCGAAATTTTCGTTAACATTTTTTGCAAAATTCATTTGAAAATTTTCGACCTTCCTTTTAAAATTGTATATTTTTTTGCAATTACCAACCCATTTTCGCGAAATTTTAACTGTATTTTACTAATGTTTCGAGTTTTTTTAATTTCGTTAAGATTTTTGTTTAAGAACTGTCTAATTGAAATCAACGGTAAAGAAACAGAATAAAAATAACATAAGTATAATTCCCTCAGAATGACATTAACACCTCTCAAAATTAGTAAACACTCCCTTGAAGGCTTAAATCTAATATAAGGTAACTAAACAAAAAGCATGAATTGGGAAATATATGGATGTTAAACTATAATCCAAGTTTTATTTTGTGCTTTTCATATTTCAGTTTAGTTCACTGGTTTATTTTCAACAATTTTATTATTCTTATTAACCGACTTGGTTGTAGATAACTAGAGAAATAAATATAAAAGTAAAAAAAAATGTTCTGCAACATTACTGATTTGTTGCAAAGCTGTATTCTCTAGAATATACTATCCATAACCCTATTACCAGCACACTTCCATAATCCTAGTACCTGTACATTGTACAATATTAGTGAAAAGATAGATTCTCTAGAATATTCTATCCTTAACCCTAGTTGTGTAGAATATCAATGAGAAGCTAGATTCTCTAGAATATTCTATCCTTACCCTAGTTGTGTACAATATTAATGAGAACCTAGATTCTCTAGAATATTCTATCCTTAACCCTAGTTGTGTACAATATTAGTGAGAAGCTGGATGCTCTACAATATTCTATCCTTACCCTAGATGTGTACAATATTAATGAGAAGCTAGATTCTCTAGAATATTCTATCCTTACCCTAGTTGTGTACAATATTAATCACCTAGATTCTATAGAATATTCTATCCTTAACCCTAGTTGTGTACAATATTAGTGAGAAGCTAGATTCTCTAGAATATTCTATCCTTAACCCTAGTTGAGAAGCTAGATTCTCTAAAATATTCTATCCTTAACCCTTGTTGTGTACAATATTAGTGATAAGATAGATTCTCTAGAATATTCTATCCTCACTCTAGTTGTGTACAATATTAGTGAGAAGCTGGATTCTCTACAATATTCTATCCTTAACCCTAGTTGTGTACAATATTATTGAGAACCTAGATTCTCTAGAATATTCTATCCTTACCCTAGTTGTGTACAATATTAGTGAGAACCTAGATTTTCTAGAATATTCTATCCTTAACCCTAGTTGTGTACAATATTAATGAGAAGCTGGATGCTCTACAATATTCTATCCTTAACCATAGTTGTGTACAATATTAGTGATAAGATAGATTCTCTAAAATATTCTATCCTTAACCCTAGTTGTGTAGAATATTAATGAGAAGCTAGATTCTCTAGAATATTCTATCCTTACCCTAGTTGTGTACAATATTAATGAGAACCTAGATTCTCTAGAATATTCTATCCTTAACCCTAGTTGTGTAGAATATTAATGAGAAGCTAGATTCTCTAGAATATTCTATCCTTACCCTAGTTGTGTACAATATTAATCACCTAGATTCTCTAGAATATTCTATCCTTAACCCTAGTTGTGTACAATATTAGTGAGAAGCTGGATGCTTTACAATATTCTATCCTTACCTTAGATGTGTACAATATTAGTGAGAAGCTAGATTCTCTAGCATATTCTATCCTTAACCCTAGTTGTGTATAATATTAGTGAGAAGCTAGATTCTCTAGAATATTCTATCCTTAACCCTAGTTGAGAAGCTAGATTCTCTAAAATATTCTATCCTTAACCCTTGTTGTGTACAATATTAGTGATAAGATAGATTCTCTAGAAAATTCTATCCTTAACCTTGGTATGTGTAGAATATTAGTGAGTAGCTGGATTCTCTAGAATATTCTACAATCTTAACCCTTATAGTACCTGTACAATATTAGTGAGAAGCTGGATTCTCTAGAATATTCTACAATCGTAACCCTTATAGTACCTGTACAATATTAGTGAGAAGCTCCACAGATTCTTCAGAATGTTCTAAAGGTATCCTTAACTCTTTTCCATCCTTGATAATCAGTGAACTTAATTTTTATTCATCCCCAAGATATTCATCCCAAAGACCTTGTTAATTATATATTAATAAAAAGGGTTTACTCTTTTACCTTTTGTTTTCTAAATGTATGGATAATTTCAATTGACATTGAAAAAACTGGATAAAGTTTACAAATTTAAAAATGAGGAGAGCACCCTGAATTAATTTCAAAATCATTATCACAATCCAGTTCAGAATAAACTACTCACACGTCATCCAATGTCAGATTACGTTTCCTAATCTTCCAATTCAATTTTAATTTATCTGTAAGGGATACAAACTGAGGAATAGTAAATATAAAACTTATAGCTTGTGGTTGTACTTGATTCTGAATGGAATGTAGAGTGACTCGCCATTTATGTAGGGACCTGTCCGATTCAAGACAGTACCCTTCGGTTAGCAAGTCACAGAACTGCAATTGAAAAAAAATTTAATTCAAGAGAGGTTTAGAAACAGGTTTAAAGGGTACCGTTGCGAGTAGGACATCCCCCTCTACAAATGGAGGGCCCCTTGAAATCAAGTCTACAGTTTCTTTAACTTGATGACCATTGCTAATTCCTTAGTTTAACATCTGAAAATAAATCCAAGAAATGAAAATTTTAAAGGGAGTGTTTGCGAAAATGAAAGGGGGTATAGGCTAACGGCGAAAAATAAGGGTTTTTGATCGCAACTAATCTTACTTTAATCTGTTGCGTCTGTAAGGGGAAAATGGTTAAGAACGACTCATACCGAAGAAGGTAGCGTCTATACAAATTCAGAAAGTTGAAACATTAACTTGGATCGTAAAATAATCACTTTGATTCCAAAAAAATCATTCAGATATTACAACCAATAGTCGTTGATTAATTTTCGACGCATTCGCATCTATTTAATATTTAATATTTTGATTTTTTTAAAAATAAT